ATTTTCTTTAAGTCTGGAAGTGAGGTAGTAGTTGGATTACTCATTGAGTCATCATACTCAACCTATTCATTACTACCTTTCTCAGAAGAAAGTCGAGAATAAAAAGTGCACGTGTGAAGATTAGCTTTTTGAAGAGGGGATTTTTGCTAGATTAGGCTAAGAGTAAAGCCCAATCTTTTGGTTTGTATCTATATGCGATTGACAAGTTAGAATGTTTTAGTTGTATTTTTTATTGTAGATATGCTTTATGAGAACCAAGCTATGTATGGGGTATCGAAATAGTAGTAAATTTTATGAATTGTAGAAGAGAAATATTATGCACTAGAATTGATGAATATGTTATTGTTTGAAAGAGTTTGAATATAAGATCACTGCCTTGAAATTCATTATCGAAATTGATGACTGGCTGCACTGTGTCGCGTAATACTGAGGTTTAAAAAAACAATTCAATATCAGAGGCGCGACACCTGCCCTCATACCATTTTGTTCTTAGCATGAAATATCTTACAAGATTGTCGGATACACTGCAGAATGATAAGGATTTTCATTATCACCCTAAGTGTTCTAGATTGGGGTTCAATCATCTCATACTTGTTGATGATCTCATTTTGTTTGGTAGGAGAAATAGTAGTTCTATGAGGTTACTTCATCAATGTCTAGACTTTTATTTAGTAGGACATCTAGGTTGGTGGCAAACCTTTCTAAATGTTTTGTAGTTTTTGAGGGTGTTGATTATAATACTAAACGGAGTCTAATGGAGGAATTGAGGAATGTTGAAGGAAATTTACCTATGAAATATTTAGGGATTCCTATGGTGACCAAGAGATTATTAATACATGGTCTAGTGTTTTAAAAATCGGCCAAGTTTATCGATATATCATCGATAAATCATGTTTGGACCGCTGTCGATACAATTTTTGTGGAAGGATAACCGGTTATCGTTTTTCACCAATTTCATCTGATATATTAAAAAAAAACTGATAAAGCGGTCGGTCTTTATAGGGGTGGTTATTAATTGATTTTGTCAAAAAAAACTATCCCAATTATTGGTTGGGTTTTGGGTCACAAAATCCTTATTTTTCATACCCGAACCCGATATCCGCTAAATTAAATTGAAACCACTTCCGATTTAATCATTTGATAACCTTATGTACCTCTCTCGAAGGCGTTCAAACAACCCTAAGTTCCTCAGAGTTCGACCTTCAAGGACTCTCTCGACCACTGAAGACTCTCTCAAAGCTTAATAGCCTAAGTCTCTTAAAGCTCTCTCGATAACCGAAAAATCTTTCAAACCCTCAAAAAATTCTCCAAACTTGACCCTCGAAATAGGTACAATGATTTCTTTTATGACTTCTTCTCTAATGTATTTTTCTTTTCATGAAGTTAATTACTTCAATTTGTTGCCAACTATAGAGTTTGATTGAATAGATTGAAGAGATTAGGACCAAAGGAGAAAAAAGGGCAATTTTGAATTGTTGTGAGTTTGACCCTAACTTGTTCGTCTTAATTCTGCAGTGAGAATGGGTTATTTGTTTCACTATTTAATTAATGTTTGGCTAGGTAGTGATCCTAAACATGTGTTATTTATATTTTAGTATATTTATATTTCATAAAATGTGCTTAGATTATATTTTACATTATATTATATATACTCACTATCCGACATGACACTCCGATTTTCACTACTTATCCCCAATATATCATCGATAACCAGGATCTGATATGAATTGTGGTCGTTCGATATAATTCTGATAACCGATATTTAAAACCTTGACATGATCTTCAGGAGTTTGTCATGAAGATTACGAGCAAGATTCAAGGATGGAAAGCTACGAGACTCTCTTATTCTGGTAAATTGTAACTAGTTAGAAGTGTGCTTTTAGGTAGACAACTATACTAGTCTTTCTCTTATGTTACACCAAAGAAAGTTCCCAAGATGGTGGATGACCTATGTAGGCGGTTCTATAGGGTGGATCACATGATGGCTATAACATGTTCTTTGTTGTGTGGGAGATGATTTGCAAGAATTTAAAACAAGAAGGACTTGGTGTTTATTCAGCTCATTATGGAGTAAAGCTTCTACTCTTAAATTGCTATGGTCAATCCATTTAAAGATATTATGTGGATAAAATGGGTTAATCATTATTGTTTGAGAACATATACTATTTAGAGTGTTCATTGAAGAACTGGAATGCTTGGACTTGAAAATAATTGTTAAAAGTAAGATTATTTCATCACTTTGTAGAGATATGCTTCAAATGTTTAGAGTGGTCATTTGATAAACTACAATGGTCAAGTGCTGCTAGTAATCTTCGTAAAGCTATGATCTATAGCGCAATACTAGTAGACTTTTCAGTAGTCAATTAGTACCAAACTATTTGGGGGTCATTGCATTCCCTAAACATTGCTTTATTGCTTGATCAGTTTTTCAACAAAATACTTTTTACGCAGAACAGGATGGTGAGATTTAGCATGGTACAAAGTAACTGTCAAGCTCTCTGTAATGGTGGATTTGAAGATCATCCACACATTTTTTCTCTTGTTCTTTTTCTAATGATATTTGGAATCTGGTGATGGATTATCTGAGGTTGAGATTTCAAAGTTGTGATTAGGGATATATGATAGATTGATTTTTACAATTGAGAGGAAACTCTTTTGACAAAAGAATAGAGAGGGCTTGTTTAGTTGCAATAATTTACGAAATTTGGAGTGAGATGAATCGACGATTGCATAGGGAAGAGGTTTGTTTTGTTGTTGTTGTCAAGAGAATTAAACAAGGTGTTCTTACGACTATTTTACATTCTTATGTGCCTGATAGATATAAGTGTTGGATAGATACTTCGTGCTAGGAATTTTATGATGATAATTTAATAATTTATGAATGGGTATCCGTATGATCAGGGATGCTTGATTAGAGCTATGTACATAACGCTATACTTGGCAATGAAATAAAAAAAATTCATTGACCAAAAAAGAAAGATGGACAAATTTTCAAAATCAACCTTTTTATCATTTTTATCAGCAAAATCGACCATTTATGAAATTATTCAGCAAAACCGACCTTTTTTCTTTTGAAAAGGGTCGGTTTTGCTGGCGGGGAAATTTAACGAAATACACGGGGCTGCTAGTCCCGTGTATTTCGACCCTGCTTTGAATTGCACGGGACAAGCAATCTCGTGCAATGGATTCCCTTATTTTTCACCCGTGACTCCTCAACCACATTTCTTTCACCCAAACCCATTCAACCCCATTTCTTTCACCCGTCAAACTCCTCAACCCCATTTCTGTCTCGACGCCGCCGACCCCCGCCGCCGACCAAGCACGCTCCGACCACCGTCGCCACCGACCAAGCAAGCTCTGACCACCGCCACCGACCAAGGTAATGGTGTTTTTTTGTTGTTAATTTTGTTTAGCCATGAAATTTCCTTTTTAGTTAAGATTTGGGATTATGATTGAGATTTGGGAATGAATTTAATTGAGATTTGGTAATAAGGTTGAGATTAGGGAATTAGGGTTCGGTTCAGTTGGGATTAGGGTTTTAGTTGGGATTTGAGAATGTATTTTGAGATTAGGGAATTAGGGTTCGGTTCAGTTGGGATTAGGGTTTTAGTTGGGATTTGAGAATGTATTTAGTTGGGATTAGGGTTCTAGTTGAGATTTAGTTGGGATTAGGGTTTTAGTTGGGATTTGAGAATGTATTTAGTTGGGATTAGGGTTCTAGTTGAGATTTAAGATTTGGGATTAGGATTCAGTTGAGATTTGGGATTAGGGTTTAACCATGATTAGGGTTTAGACATGAATAACGTGATTTGGGATTAGAGAATTTAGCCATTATTTGCTTTGTAGTTAAGATTAGGGTTTTAAATTTGATTTTAAATTAAGATTAATATTTTCAGTTACAATAGATTATTAACATATGATGGACTGTTGATTTTCAGTTTCGATGGCAAACTCTATACCCATTATTTGCTTCTTCAATGGGAGCCTTGGCGTCGAATTGAATAGTATGCCGATGTATGAGGGAGGTTCTAGGAAAATGTTTATGCTATCTAAGTCCTTCAATTTTGATGGAATGATGAATGAAATACACAAAGTTGTGAAAATTAATAAAGCATGGTATGTAATTAAAGTGTTCTTCAATTGTCCGATAAATGATAGTAGAACTATTGCTGTGGCGAATTACCGACGATGAGGAATTGAATGACATGAAACAATCAGTGGAGAAGCAAGTGTCAGTTGAGTTGTTCATTGAGAAGTATCTGATTCAAGAATTTGCCCAAGTTTCACGACCTCAAGGAGAGTTTTCTCGGATGCTGGACTTAGACAATGAGTCGAGTGGTTTTATGACATCTCCAAGTCAAAAGCCGTGGTTTCAACTACAACATTTAAGTGGGCATTCTCTTGATGGGACGTCAATTACTATATTTAATGACGTATCGGGCTATGTTACGGGTGATCTACCGGCCGGATCAATTGTAGAAGAAGTAAATGATGACTCGGAAAATATTGAAGAAGAAGGCGTACAAATTGATAGCATGCATGTGACAGTTGGAATCAATGATGATTCTCGTTGGATGGAACAATTTAATGTTAACAATGATTATGTGGAAGCTGAAGATCCGTTGCCCGACGAGTTACATAATGAAGATTGGATAAATACTTCGCAAGCTGAATTTGTTGATGTTGGTCTAAATTTACAACGACCTGAGGACTTCACTTTTAAAAAAGGGGACCTATTCGAGAACAAGGAAGCACTGATCTTTGCGGTCTGAGAATGGTCTATTAAAAATCGGGTCAAATTCAAGCCTGTAAAAACTAATGCAACCAACTACTATGTAAAATGTTATTTCAAAGAGAAGAATGAAGTAGAGCATGCAAATGAGCAAGATGAGAGATACAGGAAATGTCCTTGGTTGCTAAATGTCGCTGTGAGGAAATCATTAAATGGGTAATTTGTAATATCTAGATATTATAGGCTTCATACATGTTACAATTCGTCGATGGATGTCGATGATCATTCTGCATCTTCCTCTTATATATGTAAGCTAATTATGTCTGAAGTTAGAGCTGAACTTGATCTAAATGCAGGTCAGATATTTCAAATGATATATGATATGCGGGGCATTAAGATATCTAAATATAAGACATATGATGTAAGGAGGAAAGCGTTATCTAAAATATTTGGAGATTGGGAAAAATCTTATGAATTACTTCCACAGTATCTTGAAGCTATCAAGCGAAATAATCCGGGTATTGAATATGAAATATTGTCTGAAGAGATTGCACCGGGGATTGAGAGGTTCACTCGAGTATTTTGGGCATTTGGTCCTGCTATTAAAGACTTCACTTTTTGTCGTCCGTTATTGAGCATTGACGGTACGCATCTATATGGCAAGTACAAAGGTGTGCTTCTTGTGGCGACCGGTGTAGATGCAAATGACGGTTTATTTCCTCTAGCATTTGCAGTTGTGGAGGTAGAGGATATTTCTAGTTGGAAGTGGTTCTTTGAACTTATATACAAATGGATTCCTAGTGTCCGTGCGCCCAGATTAATTACTTTCATCTCGGATAGGATGAAAGGAATTATAAGGGCATTACATGAGGGTTTTGATGCACCACATCACCATTGATATTGTTTAAGGCATATAAGAGATAATTTTAGGAAAAAGCACGGTGAGATTAATTTGTAAAATCTTTTATGGCAAGCTGGGTGTGCAACCGATACATTAGTGTATGAACATTGTAGAGAGAAAATCAAGTCTTTATCATTAGATGCACATAATTGGATTGAACATAACTTGAAGCCTCAATTCGAGCATCGATAGGCATTATGTAAGGATAAGGGTGTGCGGTTTTGCATCGGGGCCGTTGCCTTTTGATGTGCCACCAATATTGATTGAGCAACATGCACGTGCATACATTATGCATATGATTGGTTTAATATCATTTCCAGATTCGAGTAAAGATAAAGTGCATGTCAGATATCATATTTATCAGTATTTACAATTATGCCTATTGAATTAGTTTATTTTGATAACTTGAAATGTTGTGAAAATGCTAGATGGTTACCACTTATCGGGGACTTGGACACGTGTGGTGCGTTATCGTGGGGTAGTACGGTTTTGACGTACCTATATAGAGAGATGTCCAAAATTACATTCATGAAAATAATAACTTTAAAGGGTGTCTCAGCTTACTGCAAGTATGGGCATGGGAGAGACTGCATTTGAAGCCAAGACTATGCGTGAATTTACAATTAGACGGACAAATTCCACTAGGATGCAGGTATTATATTTTTTAACGTAGTAAATATAATTGTAGTTATTATTTTGGTACTAAATTTTGAAAATAACACAGATGGAATGTCCAAAAATGTTATGACGAGACCCCGGCTAGACAATTAGATTTCTACCGAAATGAGCTTGACGGCATGAAGATTTTTCAGGTATCATTTCTATAAAAATGAGTTTTTTCTTCTATATATCAACATTCGTTTTAATGATATGCAACAATTATATGTAATACTCTGTAGATGGAATGGGAGCCCTACACCCCATTTCTCGATCATCTACCCCCGATATGCACAGAATACCCAGTTATATGGAGAGCCAGAATTCCTCTAATATGTTTTGAGATAATAAAAATGTATGTACCGGACCGCGTGCTTCGATAATTTGGTTTTGCACAACATGTTCCGTAATTTGTTGAAAAATAGAGAGGAAGGCGAAGAAAGGAGGCCAACAAAATGACTGGGCAGCTGAGCATCAAAATTATATACACAGATGGAATGATAGATATTTTCGTATTGTTGAGCAAATTGAGCCAACTCCCCAAGAATCGGATTACTACACTTGGTATTGGAGGATATCCAAAAGATGGATACTCCATGCGACCACATCCCCGGTTAAGTTGCAAAGAGGATATGTGCCTCGGGGTATAGATGAGAGAGAATTAGTATGTATTTTCAAATTTATTTTAAGTTCATTTTTATTAGTATTTTTCAATATTGCTAAATATAATTGTGTTTTTTTTTAAAATTGCAGGTATCAGCAATAGATGATGTTCAAGCAATTGCAAATCGTGGCTTGGAATTGGCTCGAGCAGGTAATGTAGAATTAAATATGAAATTTACATATTGTAATTTAAATTTTAAAGTAATTTTTACATTTCGGATTTTTTTGAATTATCTCTTGCAGGTACATATCCCGAAGCACAGAAACATGCATCGATATATCAGTCGATAATGCAGAGGCTTCACCAAGCCTTACAACCAACTCATGAAGACCTTCATGATGGACGAGAGGTAGCGTAATTAGTATACACACGTCAACAACGACAAAGACGAGGACGACGCAGAAACGACAATGAAGCTGGGCCTTCCCAACGTGTTGACGACGTAGCTGGACCGTCACAACCACAAACGCAACCGGATCATGAACTCATCGAAGATCGGGATGAAGGAGGCTGAAGACAAAGGTGGAGGAGAAGAGTTCTTGGATATATATGTAAGCTAATCGTTATTGTTATATAAATTACAATCCTATTTTGATATGTACATTATAAACGTATTTCGAGACAATAGATGGTTTTTGGATTTGTAGCCGAGACTATGGTGTGACTTATTAGATTCGTAAGTGGGTTTATGGCGTGATTTGTTGGATTTGGATTCGTAATTGGGTTTGTGACGTGATTTGTTGGATTTGGATTTGTAAGTGGGTTTGTGGCGTGATTGGTTGGATTTGTATGAGTTTGTGGTGTATTTTATGATTTTTAGATTTGATATATGCGTTTATATAGGGAATTGTCATAAAATGCAATGGTGTAATTTATGAAACTTGCATTTGAAATATGAGTTTGTACAGGGAATTGCAACAAGGCAGCAGAAATACACATTTGTGCAGGAAATGCACGGGACTGCTAGTCCCGTGCATTTCATTGTGCCCAGGAAGTGCACGGGACTAGCAATCCCGTGCACTTGTTTTTTGTAGCGATAGAACTCTCTGCAAAAAACACGGGATTGTTAATCCCGTATTTTTTGAAAGCTGGGTCGAAATACACGGAACTAGCAGTCTCGTGTACTTGTTTTTTTGTTGCGTTCGAACTCTCTGCAAAAAACACGGGACTGCTAGTCCCATGTTTTTCAAAGCTGGGTCGAAATACACGGGACTAGCAGTCCCATGTATTTCGTAAAATTTTTCCAGCAACAAAACCAACCCTTTTCAGAAGAAAATGGTCGGTTTTGCTGAATAATGTCATATGAGGTCGGTTTTGCTGATAACAAAAAGGTTGATTTTGAAAATTTATCCAAGAAATATCTCTTTGTACTCTAACTTTTTTGTTGCAAATAGCCAAAACTTGTCTGCAGTATGCAATCCTTAAAGAATGTTGCTTCTATTTATTGAAAATTTGATTGCAAAGCTTAAAGACCTCAAGTGGTTCCTAGCAATGATGCGTGAGGAATGATGGTAATTGTGCCTTTCATTGAAGTGCAAATAAATATGATCACTTGTTCCTTCCGGATGCTCATACTCGCTAATACATGCTCACCATTGTATATTAAATATTAAAGTTATGTTAAAAAGCCTACTCTTTACAAGCTTGTTAACTAAATTTGGTCCAACGCTAGCAACTTGAAATATTTTTTCAACAATTCAACTAATATTAAAATATAAATGAAAAGAAGAAAAATTGTAAGTGTACCATAAGATGTGGTCGGGAAGGATATTGTAGAAGTAAGAAACATGCACTTGCGGTTAGACGGTATCAAAATCCATATCACCCTTTTTGCTTTATTCCTACTTGCTCGTCTATATATAGTTAGAGAAGATCTCACAAATCCTTTAAGGATTTCAATTTTTTTATTGCTTCTCATACTTTATTCACAATAACATACTATTAAATTATAATCACCACCTTCAAAGTTTCATGGTTCAATAAAGTGTTGGCATTTTCCTGATTATTGGATGAACTCAAATTAATAAAGGGCTAGTAGTGGACAAGCTGCAGATCGAGTGAAGATTTTATTCAAGAGTCCTAATCCACTGAAGAAATCACTTAGGATTAAAAAGTTACATAGGACTTTTCCTTTTAAGGTAGTTTAGATAAGATGTTCAGTTTTATTTTTAAGTTGATTTATCTATTTTTAATTTTAGATTGAATTTCGGTAGGAATTTATTCGAATATGAAATTACATGAGGCTAATTTGATTTTCTAAATTGTACTAGAGATAAGATTTCAACTCTATTTAAAGAATTGTAGAGTATATTGTATTTGGAAAGTGATTTTGCATGAATAAATTATTAGTTAAGCCAAATTAGTGTGGTCCCTTACATTAGGGGTCTGTGTGCAAGGCCAAACATTTCTTAGTTTTAAGATTACTTTCCTTAGATTAAAATTATGCAAAAAAATCATTTTGAGATATTCTACTTCATCTACTAAGAAGTTATGTTCCTCTCTCTCATCCTTTGCTTTTTTACTAATTAATAGCCAAGCGCCCTGCTCATGAAACCCGTCGTTATAGCGCTTCTACCCATGATCTCACCCATCAATATGAATCTATCATACCATGTCCCCTCCTCCATCTCCAGCCATGATCTGCTCTAACACACCAAACCCTTGGCTTTTCCTTGTGACCTTTGACGACTCACTGCACTCTCATTTCTCGGCTAGTCATCTACTCATCTCCACCATGAAGCCATTCTCCTCGATAACATGCCGCTCCAATAAATCCTCATCTCAACGGAACCTGAGAACTCCACAATCCTAACCTAACCTCAACTCCGGATCGTCTCCTTCCTCCTTACATTGACTTGATCCTTGGAATCCACCCGCACTCATGCAATCACCACCTCATATTTAGCCCGATCTAACTCTCTTTCAAATTTGCCTCTTCACAGTTGCAAGCGACTTAAATAGAACTTTGTCCTCTTCAAGATTCGCTGATTCATCATATTGGACACCAAAGCTCGATCTTCGGAAAACTTAGCTAGCTAAATTTATTGTCGATCATCTTATCCAGAATTAGTTGTTTTTGTGTCAGAAAGGACCTCATTTTTGTAGCTGATTTGATAGATGTAATTCCAAAGGATTCAAGTCAAATGTCTACTGCATTAGGTCAAATTTGAACATACCCTTCAATTTTACAATTATTGTTAACATTTGTATTATTAATTGTAGGTTTATACTTTCATTATTTATACTTAGTTTCCGCTTTTCTTTTCTTTTTTTCTTGCATTTGCTAGCTAAGTATCACGTATCTAGATCTATAGAACTATATAGATTCGTATTGGGCCATCTCTCCACAACAAAAGAAAGTTTAAACCTCAGCCCACATGAAGGGCATGTTTGGCGACTACTTATTTTATGATTCCTTAGAAGTTACTTATTACTTATTTAGTTAGAGAGCAAGATAGTCTTTAACATCAATAAGTAAATCTACTTATAAGTGGCCAAAAAATAAGTTGGAGAATCCTAGCTTATTTTTTTCCCTACGTATAAGTTTAAAAAAAAAGTAATATGTAAATCCTTACCAAATATGATCTTGACACCTTATAAATAAAGGATGCTTATACGTGAAAATAAGTATGTTGCCGAACATGCTCAAAAGCAACCGCAACCACGTCTAGCAAAT